AAAAAGACTTCGTAGAAATGGCATAGAATCCATGGAAATCAAAATTTTTCAATTTGAAAACTCTGCTTCTCTTCAGAAGACTTCAGAGAATAATGCCCAATTGTTTATTTAAACGTTTTTTAATTTAAACTATTTTTTCTTTTTTTCTTTTGTATATTTCTGTTTGTATATTTGATTTTTTTTTGGGATATTTCGGAGACCCTTAAAAAATAGTTAAAATTAAAAAATGTTTAAATAAACAATTGGGCATTATTCTCTGAAGTCTTCTGAAGAGAAGCAGGGTTTTCAGATTGAAAAATTTTGATTTCCATGGATTCTATGCCATTTCTACGAAAAGTCTTTTTTTCCCCATACAAAATACATGGGAAACTTTGAGCGCTTTGAGCGACCTCTAAATATATTTTAATTTTAAAATAAAAAACAGGGGTATATTTTTTTCGGTATAGAACAATCCTAGGGGGTGAGAGCATTAAATTTCCGACTTTACATTTTTTGGACCACCCTACTGTACATACATAAATTAAGTGGGGAGCAGAAATGAGTAAATCCTGATTTTTGTTAAATATATATTTCGTGCTTTAACCAATCCCATATAAAGCAAACTTTCTACGTTTATAGAGAGCTTTGAAAAATTCAACAAATTTTTGTTAAAATTTTTACCTTTTGCAAAGAAAATTAACAAATCAATGCCAGGTTTTATAAATTGTACTTTTTATATGAAAAAAAACCACAAAATAAAAAAAATTTAAAAATCAACGCGATTTTTCAGCCATTTCAACATTTTAATGAAAGTTTGTTTAATTTTCCAAAGCTCTGTATAAGGTTTGAAAGTTTTATTTATATGGCTTTGGTTAAAGCACGAACCATATTTTTATAAAAAAATAACAAACAAATTTTAGGTTTAAAAACCTTGCAAATATTTAAAAAAAAAATCACCATTTCCTCATTTTTGCAGCATATAAAGCATTGAAATTGATGTCGTTTAATATGTTAGCTTACCCATAATGTAATAAACAAAGTGAAAGCAATATTTGACGTACGCTTATTTTCGTATATTTGTTTACATTAACCCTCTTTCGGCTTAGGCTTGGAACCGAATTCTGAGATAGGGCGTTCTTCAACAAAATTCTGTTATAGGGTGTTTTTCAATACTTTCAATATGTTTTTCAGAATTTATGCGAGTTGCACTAGAAATTTCCTTTTTTCTCGATTTTAGCAAATAAATTAGTCATAAAACCGTATTTTTTTTGTGAATAACTATTTACTGATATTTACACATATAAATAGTATTGAGGAAGGTCTCAAAAGATTTCCCTATATATGTATATATGTATACATTATGATTAAGGATTCTTTCTCAAATTAATTACTTCAAATCAGGTTCATCTATTATTACTAAATTGGCGAAAATATAAATTTTATGCGAAACTTCACATCTGTTTGGCGCACTGCGGTTGTAGTTATTGGACGCTATTTTCACGATATGCCTTTGCACTAATGCATGTGAGAACATACCCACACTTTGATCATTACCTCTCCTCTGATGAAATAGCAGGCAGCATCTTTGATGGTACTGCATATGGATCGAGGCGTCTTCTCTTGGCATTAATACTTGCATAAATGATATCATTCGATTTGAAGTGCAGAGCGCAAACTTTCGATGATCCAGCTAGTTTAACACCACACGCATTCATCCAATCCCTTCCTTGTGTAACATCTTCCTCATTGTTGTGGGTGCTTCTGCATAAACACAAATATATGTACCATCCGTCCTTTATTTTAAAGGACAGTCCTTTATTTAACTTCCTGTCCTGTGAAAACGTCTCTTATAAAATAAAATCAAAACCTTCGCCAGTTTGTTTCGCAATCGGTAATTTTTACACAATATATAAAGCACAGGGAAAGTTGTGCCCAGGATCGTGTTGCACGCTGAGTTTCCAGTTCCCATGAAAGAAAACAATAAACCACCTGCTGCACAGTGGTTCAAAACTGGCATTCATTCACTTAATTTTTCACTTAATTTTATTAATTTTTCGTTTTTTATAAAAGCCTGCAATATTTGCAAGAGACCAGTTAAACCTGATTTCTAAATTTTTTGATTATATTAAATTTTTTAGTGCAAATTGCAGAAAAAGGAGCAATTTTGAAGCAAATGTATTCTCCTGTTCCAGTTAATAAATGTTACATAACGAAAACTAGTTGAAAACAATTGCATGGTTCTCCCAAAACAAAAAAAAATTGAAATGTTATAAAAAAATGTTCACCAAAATAAATATTTTTTTTTTGGTTTTTAGTAAAAATTGGTTGAATGAATGCTCCTGTGGATTATGAACATTGACTTCCAATTTCGAACCACTGTGTACTGGCTTCGTCGTGCAGTATGAATTAAGGTAAACGCATATTGGTAGCAAAGGATGGCGAAGTCCTTGAAACGGATTTGGCTTAATTTTTCGGTACAGCAGGGGAACTTATACAATTAAATAATATAATTAACTGGAAAATATTTGATTAAAATTACGACATGGGTATGGCATTTAAAACGATTTTTTCTTTTTTGTTCTTTAATTTCTAAAACAATTATTTTTTTATTTTGAAATTTATTTATAATTTTGCTAGTTTCAAATGGATTAACGCAATGACAAAACCGTTGTCATATAAGCGTATAAAGAAAAAGGCGTGAGTACTAGGTACTCATGAAATTTGATGTGTATACATATGCGAACGGCAAAGCATAAAAGTACGTTTACATATAAATATAATCTCAAACAAAGCTCGTTAGCTGTCAAATTGGTTGTGCTTGTTATTCACACAACTCGAGGAAAAGTTAAACTTCTTCTCTGTGCCACCGTGGTCACTTTTCTTTTGCAACACATATTAGGCCATTTAAATATATTTTAACTGAATATTTTATTAAAAATACCTTTACAAACCTATTTTCCTTACTAGCGTCAATTTTTGTTTACTTTAACATTTGACATTCCTCCTCTTCTTCACAAGTATAATCGATAAAACTTGGTTGGACACCGAAAAGTTATCGGTTTAATCTGAGATATTTTTAGTTATAATTTTGCATGGCTAATCTCTTTTTCTAATAACAGATTAGGGAGTTAAGCTCGAAAATTAGAATAATCTTTTTATATGTAAAGATATTATTAGGCGATTCAGTTACATACATACAAATGTAGGTTAGGTTAGAAATTAAACATTAATTTCACTTAATTTTATTCATTTTGCTGATTTAATATTTTTATTCATTTTCATTTTTAATTCTTTTAATACATGACATTATCGGTATGATTGATAAAATATACTTGTGACTCAAGGGTGTTAAAATATCTTGGAAACACCGCATATAGGTAGATTTTCAAGTTTTATGCGACGAAAAATATTTTATTGCCTCTATCTACTCAGAATTGTTTATCAAATGTAAAATTGAAATAATTTGTATTACAGATAGGTTATATTAATAAAACATATATATTAGCCAATAATTTACTATTTAAATATATTGACTACCTTTATTTATAAAATGTGTGTACACTATCATTGGTTAATTAGTTTTTGCTTTCAGAATCTTCGCTGGCCTCAAACTATTCCTTTGTCACATCTTTGACAACGGATTTAGAGGGTAACAGCAGCTTTATTGTGTCTGGGGAAAACGATTTGATATTTTTTCTTTTTTTGGTTATGAACCGAAATACTGCTTAAAAACGAGTCCGAGCTCACCAACAGCCGGTTATATATGTCACGGTTACATACTTCACGAGAAAACTTCCGGGAATAATTTTCTCGATAGTGTTTGTTGTGGGCCTCTTGAGCCTCCCCGATAATTGTCCTATTGTTAATAAGGAATTAGTATCTTGTGCATTGTGGGTTTCATAGGTTGCCATGCCGTCATCGATTCGCCACTTCTCGCTCGCTATGTTTGAGTTCCGGTCGCTTAACGAAAAACTTTGCATGTGAAAGCAACAACAAAGTTAGCTAGCACGGATATACGATAGCAAGTTTGGTTGAACCTCATTGAGTTCGTTCGTTTCGCCACTTGCTAACTGATGGCGAATCGATGACGGCTAATAATCAATTGCAGCGCATTTCCACTTACTATGCATATGCCTAAATGTATGCAACCATTTGGCAAGCGAACACAGGGTGCTTCTAATGAAAATAAAAATTTTATGCTGAAATACACATGCTAAGCCCTTCGAAATTTTGTGCTGGGATATGCGTTACAGCTTTGCAAATTTTACCCCTACCGAAACCAAAGATGTATACACATCAATAAATATGTCATATACTGATTTCACTTTGCTTATTACACTATGAGTTTATCTACCCCTTTCCTAACATTGTGTGTCCCGGTTTCAAGAATGCAAAAGTTGGTAACCCTGGTGATAACATCAAGGCGCACGCCACAAATCGGATGAGAAGGTGGGCCAAATACTAACATGCGTAGGCGCCAACCTATTATTATTAGTTATTATTATTAACAGCATCGAAGACACTTAATTCTTAGGTGGATTTTTATATCAGAAGCTGAATCTTGTGAAAATTGCAGATAAAGGGTATTGAATATAAGCCCTCGTTATGCTTTATGGCCCTTAACTTATTTATTTTAAATTGATAAGTTAAGGGCCCTTAGCCTACTGCTTTATATACATATACACGGTGTCCAAAAAGTACCACGACAAACTTAAGGAGAAGGTAGGTGGGGGGGTGGGCTCCCTGATAAGAACTTATCTTATATAAGTGTCACCGTTTCTGAAATAAGTATATATGTATTGATATTTTTTTTAATAAAAAAAATCGGGCCTCTTAGTGTGTTTTCTTTAACTGCATGTACAAACAAAGTTATAATTCTTAGTTAATTTTTTCTGTAAAATACTTCCAGATAGTTTCTTTCCCATATTCAAACGCAATGTAGTTAAAAGATATAAAGGAAATTATTTCAAAATTAAGGCTATTTTGGGATTTTTAACTTTTTGATATTTTATATATTATAGCCGTTTTGTGGGTAAAAGCTGAGGCACGCTAGAATGTAATTCGTGAAATTGGAGCCTTCGAACATTGTGTTGTTGATACTATGCGGATATTCACCTAATTTGCGGGGAAGCTTGCTATAATACCAGAGCTGCTCAAAAACTCTATGCGGAGCGATACCCCAATCGTTGGCATTCGGATCATGAAGTTTTCTCCCGGACTCATAGAGTTATCAGAAGGTAAGTAAATTTACACGTTTTTTGTTTAAAGTCTTTCTTCTTCTAAGTTTCATTTTTTCTTTTCTTAAGGTCGCATACCTGGAAGACGTGAAGGCGAGACGGGACGTCCTGTAATGGTAGATGTTGTAGTTGTGCTAGAGAAAGTGGAACTAGGTCCATTGACTTCAGTGGGAATGATAGAAAGACAAACTGTATTACCAAAAATTTACGGTTCACAAAGCTTTAAAATATAATCAATTTCATCTCTACCACATTCAACGTGTTCAGGGTCGTCAAGCGAGGGATTACCAGGCGAGGATTAGATTTTGCCGCGAAATTTTGCGAATGTATGCATCAAACCCCAACTTGCTTAATAAAATAACTTGGAGCGATAGATTATCATGCAAACATGATGGTTACTTTTATTTACATAATCTTCATAGTTGGCAGATAGA